AAAAAAAAATTATTTTGACTCAATTCTGGTACCAACTCTCACAACACTTATACAGATTAAGAATGTTCAGGTTTTTTTTTCAGATACAACGTCCGCAACACTGGTCGCCAATCAGAGGCGCACCATTTGTGCCCGAGTGTACAAAACCACATGTTAAATTTTTTTTTAACAAAATTTATACATGTTTTTAAAGCATTACAATAAATACTTTGTGTAAAAAATTGCAGAAAAAAAACTCGAACAGTTTTAAATTTATTCTATTCTAAAAGTCACCTTCAACAACAGAATTCTAAACAAAAATACCCGCTTAAAGAAATTAACCTTTTCGGTACGGAGAGTGACTATAGTCACTGTCCATTATACTGCTCGCTGCGGCCGAGCAACTTAAAATGTTATCTTCAAATGCTTCTGTTAATATAAATTTTTTAAATTGTTTTTGTTATTGAGCTTTATTAAATATAATAATTGAAAACGTGGAATGTCGAGTGCCTAGCTTTCTCGACCGAATCTCGTATATCGGCGGATCGACGCTTCGGCCACTGGAGGGCCATTCGCGTCCCGGTCGCTCCATACCGAAAGGGTTAAAATATAAAATTGTATTTATTGCGTTTGTTATAAAATTAATTTAACTACTTAGAAAGATCTTTGAATAACCTCACAGTTATTTTACTTTCTTTGATTATTAATTGCATTATCAGAGTGTAAATCATTACGCAATGTATTAAAATTAAAATATAACAAATTTACTTGAAGAACAGTCTTCAAGGTACATGTAGCATTATCTGCGTATGATTCAGCAGTTTTTGGCATCATATAATCCTCTGCATCAGTGTCACCAGAATCTCGCTCAATGCCTTCATCATCAGTTTCTTGTAAACGTTCTTCTGCATCACCTTCACAGACTAATAATATAATTAAATAGCATTTTAATTTTACATAAAACAAAAACTAATTTTAATCATTTTATTAACTTAAATTTTCATTTAAATACGCGATTAAACATTATTAAAAGGTAAGAAAATGAAAAAAGTGTGCAAATTAGAAACTTGCACATTGCTTCCTCACCATTTTTTTCACTTATACAGCTTCCTCTGTGAGAAATTAGTAAAATTATTAGCACATAATAGATTGGCTTCCTCATAGAGGAAGTTTTATAAGCGAAAGAAAATGGTAAGGAAGCAATATGCAAGTTTATAATTTGCACACTTTTTTATTTTTATATAAACTTCACAAAAAATAGACAATAAATAAAAAAACTTAATTTGAATAAAAATTTGACATTTTCTCAATATATAATTGTTTAATATATCGAGATCAATATATTAGTTGGAAAACTCCACTTGGGATATTATAAATATTTATAAAAAAATTCGAAAATTTACATTTAAAAAAATGTTTTTAATGTAAAAAATAAAAAAATTAAACCTTTCACCAATTCTCATCAAAATCAAAACCAACCATTCTTCAATAATACTCTATTCATTTTTAAAAATTTAACCCAATATCTCAAAAGTTGCGGAAGTTAGAACTTCTACAGATATTTTTTGAAAAATTAAAACTGCCTTAAGTTAGAAGTTCGACTAATAAGTCGAAAGTCAATTTAGAGTCTTAATTTTTTTATATAATTTACATAAATACTTTACACAAATAATCCCAAAATTTCAGCAGATTATATTGGCCGTATAGTTCCTTTGTAATATTATTCAGAAGTTGACCACTTTGAACCTATCGCCTCATGAGAAACGGTCGCTCTGGGGTAAATGATCACTGGTTTAGTTTGTACATACAAACGCCGTTGTACATACTTAGCGACTTTGAAAAACTAACATTTGACAGATGAAACATCAACGATCGTGTAAAAACTTTAAAAATCGGATTTTACCATGTGGATTTAAAACTTTATTGTCATAATGTTTACCTTTACCTCGCGGATCGAATTAGCAGTGACAGACTTGACAACGCCGGCGCCGCAGCGCAAGAGCTGATGCAACCCAACCTCACAAACAGTGTTTAACCACTAATCATGAATCCACGACACACAATTTTTAATGTATTAATTATTTTAAGTCTCTAGTATTCTCTGACAATTGTTCACAATAGGTTTTTATAAGTTATTTGTGATTTTCCTTTTACTTTATAATGTTGGATAATATAAGTACCTGACAACGATTCGTGAGTCGACGTTCTCATACTTTGGAATATATTTGTTAATATTCTATACACTAATAATTTACGAAGAATTAAAGTAGGTACATAAGTAACATCCACAATTTATTATACTAATATTGCATATAATTCGAGTTTGCTGTAATAATATTATTATTCAATCGCATGTTTTATTCCAGAATAGTAGGTGAACCTCCTTAAAATCTAAAATATTGTAATTTTTTATAAAAATGACAGTAAATAAAAGTAACTACTTTACTTCTATGCCAAAATACAGCGCTGTAGCTCAAGCAGTTCTTGAGTTATAGCCGGTTGAAATTTTGGAGAATCCTTAGGGGAGATTGCGGCTGGATGTTACAGGGGTAAAATGTTACAACTATAAAAAGTAGGTTCATGAAACCGTCTAAGAAACGCTAACGATTGTGAAATGTATGATTATTTAGCTTCAAAATGTGTTTATCGCTATCTAGCGTTTCTCAGTTTTATGAACTTACTTTTTATAGTTATAACATTTTACCCCTGTAACATCCAGCCCCAGTCCCCTACATACATACACACACATACACACATGTAATTTAAAAAAAAAGTTATTTTTCGACATTTTAAAACATTGGCGTAGAAAACTAAAAAAAAGAAATTTATTACAAAAACAAAACTCTCTATGAGGAAGCAAAAATTATTTACCCCGATTACAGTTTGTCATCAATGTAATGAGAGCTTCTAGGTCTGGTAATAAAGCTATCTCCTCTCCCGCGTTAGAACCAAAATCCAAGGCTTTAAAAACTGCCATGCCTAACGAGAATACCGCCTGTACGAAAAAAAAATTTATATTGAAATAATTTATACGTAATATATAGGTAAGATTTATTGTAAAATAAAAATATTTTATTATAAGTTATATATTTACCTTCTCTTCCGAAACAAGAGATTGCTTAGAGCCTGTAATGTAAGTTATCCTGTCAATTATCTCTAATATTATAGTAATAATTCATAAATCATTTGTAAATTCTTGAACAAAACAATCACCTGCCAAGTTTTCAAGCCAGATGTCTCCATCTTTGTGAAGTATAATTTGCGAGAGTTCCGATATCTCATAAAACTTATTTTCCGTTGAGCATGATAAACTTTTAGCTATCTGATAGCACAATGCCCAGGCTCGTTCCTGACTTACAGGACTATCAAACATCAGCAGAATATCCTGAAGATTTAAACAACCGTGCGAGTCTAACTTACACTTAGACCGCGCCGACGCATCTTCTTTTTTGTTAACTGCTTGTGACTCTTTAAGAATTGCAGCTTTTTTCTGATTACAATCCGGTCCCGGACTTTTCTTAGAATTCGACATTGTGCGAATACTTTCTATTTATGGATACTCGCTATGTGAATTTTGTATCTCCCCATTAAAAATATACTATTTTACATATAGCCTTTGATATAGAATATACTGATACATCATAAACTTCTATGAGATTGTTTATGTTAAATAGTATATATCATATCATATTCGTAATATAATATCATATCAAGTATTTATAGTTTGCACTAGAAGAATCACATCTTTCCATTCATAAAGAATGTTGCTTTTTACTTTGCTTGCACAGTATATTAAAATTGTTATTCTAAATTAACAAGAAACAGTAGGAATTGTATACTATAAGTTGTAATTGCCAAAATTACCTGAAATATAACAATAGTACATGTAAAAATTTTATATAGGTACCTATATAATTTCTTTATAGAATGTGTTAATGAAAGATCATATATAATCAAATTACAAGCAATATAATTTAAAACGAAATAATAATGTGCTTAATTATTTCTCAAGATTAGTGAAAGAAAATGTACATTTTGTACATATACAGTAGCGATTAAAACAGTTTCAAGCCAGGCAGATTTTTTGGGTTTAGAAAAAATGAACAAAAAAAATTAACTCTAAAAAAAAATAACATATTTTACTATGAATAAACGTCCGTCTTTCGGAAGAGACGTTAAACCTTTGATCCAAAAAGGATTGAAGTATGGAGATAAAGATAGTGGTGAATGAAAATTGTAACCCCAAGAGGATCAATTAAAAACTTCTATCTGCTATGAATAAACGTTGTTAACAATAAAAAATAACATAATTATTTCTTTATTTAACAAAAAACGTATGATCATAAATATCGGGGCAGGAACTTCAAGTTACCTTAAATCACAAAAATTAACTGAATCACTAGAAAATACTAAAAAAACAATAGTAATATTTAGTATTTGGTAGCCACGGCCCTTAAAAATAATGACTGCGGCGTAACAATGTGGCATTGACTTAAGAAGGTGATTGTGTCTGTTCCTATTTAAGACTTAACGCTCGGAACGCTCTTAGAATCATTTCATCATTGTTGTTTATCAAATATTAAACAAGGACGAATGATGCTCACTAGCGTTGTGAGTGTTAAGTGGAACCCACTCCTTGTTTATTCGAAAGTTTGTTGTTGGTTGCTCTACGATTAATTGTAAGTTTATCTCAAAAATGTTCAATAGAATTTAAGTCTTGAGACTGAAGCTGCGTTTCGATATTCACTGCCAGTAACTATAGGCCAGTCATATTAGACATCGAACCTTCCAATTAATCTTCCCAGGTTGCAACCACCATAAATCGCTTTGATTTGAGGTGCTGTAAGTAGGATGTATTTTGCTTCGCAAAATTAATGCGCATTAAAAAGTTATTAACAATATTATCAACAAAAAAACTCAATTTTTTTATTTTTCCTCAAATATCTCGAAAACTAAGCAAGATAGGGTAACTAACTATACGTACTTTTTTTGTAGAGCGTAAAATTATCTACAATAATGATCTGAACAACATTTATCGTCAAGTCAGTCGTTTAGCTTGCACGCGCCGTCAAAGTCCGAGACTCGAATCCCGAAAACCCTCGATTTCATCGTTTTTTTTTTATGTTGCGCCGGTGATTTTTTTCCGTTATTTAAAATGTAACTAAAAATCCCCCAAAAATCACACATCATATGAGAACTACAAAGAATACTTTTCATAACCGATTTTTTAGACCCCTTTTCTTTAGTTTGTAGCTATGTAAGCAAAAAATTATGATTTTTTGGAATAGTCTTAATTTTTCGCTGTTTTCAGGCCTTAGAATTTTTTTTAGACGAATTTTACCGTATGCATCTTGTTGTGGACGAAATTTGTAACAAAAAAAGACCCTTGTATTTTTTTCGTACGACAAACGCTGATTTTTTTATGAATAATGATTTATTGTAGATAATTTTACGCTCTACAAAAAAGGTACGTATAGTTAGTTACCCTATCTTGTTTAGTTTTCGAGATATTTGAGAAAAAATAAAAAAATCGGGTTTTTTTGTTGATAATATTATTAATAACTTTTTAATGCGCATTAATTTTGCAAAGCAAAATAAATCCCACTTACAGCACCTCAAATCAAAGCGATTCATGGTGGTTGCTACCTGGGAAGATTAATTGGAAGGTTAATCCCTTAAATTAGTCTAATATGACTGGACTACTACTAAAAATCTACAGTTTACGTACACTATAGATTTTCAGTACTGGCAGTGAATATCGGAACGCAGCTTGAACCATTCAAAAACTCGCACTTTTTTGGCAGACAAATACTGTGATATAATCTTTGAAGTGTGTTTGGATCTCTATCATGTTCAAAGATCCATCCATAACTTCACCCGTATTTCACTTAGATATTTTGTACTTGGAATCGTATCTGCCACCAACAAGACATCGAATATACTGTTATTTTGTTTAAAGTTAATCTTTTTTTTGTTCATTTTTCCTAAACCCAAAATATGGAAAAAATCTGCCTGGCCCGAAACTTTTGTTCGCTACTGTATATTGTAAATATGTTAAATATTTTACGTTATTAGAAATTTTTTTTCAAATAAGATGTATGTAATAGGAATTAAATATAATGGACTAAAAAGATAGCATACTTTGTAGAAAACGCATACACATATACATACACATATATCTTGTAAAATAAAAAGATGCGATTTCCAAATAAAAAGATATTTGCATAAAATAACACTTCAGCACATTTAAAAAATTCTGACAAAGCTGCTAATTACGAATATCGCAGTTAAAGTGCAATTTTCTCATTATTTTAGCTGTAATACGAATTTTACGATTCGTAGTTCACGGCTCTCACCGTGTCTCCTGTCGACCCTTAATCAAATATGTTTATGCAAATTCATTTTTCTTTAAAAGTTTTTTTTTTTTTTATGGCACAACTGTTTATTCTCAGGTAAAACAGCAAGTCACAATAAAGTAAAAATGATGTCAAAATGATGATTGTTGGTTATTTTACCATCACTTTACCAATCATTTTGACTTTATTGTAACTTTCTGTTCTACCTAGGTTTCATCTAAATATTAGCCCAATATTAGGCCAATGTAGACTTAATAAAACTAGAAAACAATTTAAAATAAGTAAAAAAATTAAAATCTAAGCTCTTGAAACATAAGGTAAATAAAAAAGATTTTAAAATTATAAAAATCTCCTCTATAAAATATTTGTTAAAACTTTTTTTTTTTTTTTTCCAAGAGATCAAACAAATATTAATATCATAATTCTTTTTGTTTCACCAATCAAGTGTAATTTCTACAAAGCATGCTGTTTTTTTGTCCTATTAAACTTATTTACTTTCTAATCATGTATTGTTTTATGACGTCTTAAAAACATATTTAGTAAAAATAATACTTGGTGCATTTACTCTGAACAGACTGTACAACATATACAATGCACAAAATGTATACCTTCTTCTATTGATCTTTAAAATTGAAAGTAGGCTGTGATTTTGTTATGCAGTAATAATATTAGTTACAAGCAATATTACTTACGTGTTTACATTACATGATAACCAAGACTTATTTGCACTTTACATCAGTAGATGATTATAGAAAATAGTCGTTGTTTTGTGCCGCTTATCCTGAAATTGATATTATTTTATCTTTACTTGCATTAACCATTTGCAGATGATACAGCTGAACAGATTATGACGATAAATAATATTACGCGCATTCAAATTTGACAAGTTTCAAAATTGACATTACGAAATTTCGCTCTATATAAAATTGTCATCTTACATTTATAAATCTTAAATAGTTTTCTCATATTTACTTCTTACGCGGCAAAGAAACATCCATGTCAATCCCTACCAAGCTGCGAGAACCCACAGTCGGCGACTGCACACCGCACACGCACACAGTGCAATTCGCCGTCTTCGCCAAGCTCTTAACGACCAATGTTGCCAACTTGCACATAATAACATACATATATATTAAGGTAGGTTTTCATGGGAATCATGGGCAGTGAAACCTCATAATAAAGGGTCTGTTCGCGTTGCTTGCACTTTTTGCACTTAGCACCTTCGCTTTCTCTCTTTCCAACGGCCGAATATATATTTATCTCATTTCAAGTGCAAAAATGTTTGGGGATTTCAAGCAACGCGAACAAACCTAAAGGTGGAAGCATTCGTATGTATTTGACCGGAAATGAATGTCCGGGAAAGAATCTACCATATGAAATCGTTTGTATTTCGTATGAAGACTTTTGAAGTGCAATTGAAAAGGTTTGTGAGTCATTCGTTTAATTGTAATTAATTAATTATTTTTACACCATGCATTTAGCCGAAATAGATAAATTAATAAAAGTTTTTATACGGAATCGTTTGTATTTTGTATGAAGAGTTACGAAGTGTGATTAAAAAGGTTTGTGAGTCACCCAGATAATTTTAATTAAATATTTATAAACTCGGTAATTAGCCGAAATACAGATTTTTAGTTATTCATGTTAAAAGAAGAAGGCGCTAGAGTTCCCGAAGGTCCGTCTGCAATCAGAATTAATATGAACGTTTTAAAAATTATTTTATACTGAAATAAATAAATATACAGGCTAATAAGCCTGTAGCTATAAGCGATAGTTGCTAATTAAGTTTGTAAAGATTGTACCAGCTGTGCAGGGTGAAGAGCAGGTTATCTCAAACGCCCTGCCACAACCCAATTAAAAGAGACTCAAATGTCATTACCGCTGAGAAGTACTTTTTGCCATTTAAGTTAGCATGTCAGAGCAACCGGATTGTCCATTGCGTTCCACCTTGAATTTTTTTTACAGTCGTTTATTAGGATTGCCCTACTTTTAAATTGAGCGCTTTTAAATGTATTATTATTAAACTACCGATATCGATATATTATTAGTAATTTAATATTAAAACTTGACAGAGTGACGTAAACTAATTCGCTCATAGTATTATAACAAAGTATTATGCATTCAAATTCTCGAAAGCTAATAGCTTCTTTACTATGCTCTCTCTTTATGTTGATCGATTCAGATAAAAATCTCCGAAGTCTTTCTTTCTCTCGCGATATTCCTAGAGTAAAACTGTACAAAAGCTCTACGAAATTGGCGATATTTTTCACGGATCTGGTTCGAGTCTCGGCTCTTGAGGAAGGTGCGCATGTAGAAAGAGTACGCCAACACAGTTTATCCTGCTAAATGGTTATCAATTCTCTATAAGTTCTGTATTGTACATAAATTATAGAATATCTAAACGTTTCTTTTTTTTTCGATGTCCTGTGACATATTGTACAATAGAGTTACAAATAAAGATAAAGCCACACTTTACGTATAATCTAATTCAGTCTTTGCTAATGTTACATAATAACGTGCGAAAGAACTAACAGTTAGACTATTTAAGAGGCTATTTAAGAATTTTAATTGATACTGGAAGCATAAAACTGTTCAGCTAGCTTTACACAAGATATTGGTCTTCTTCTTTATGAAATCGTCAAATTATGATTATGATACATTTCTACATTATCACCAGCATCGAATCTAATCTTATTTATCGTGATACTCTTGAGAAACTGTTAATCCATTGTCTTAACTCGATCGCGGCGCAGAACGGCGTCCACCAATATTGTTCTTCTCCCTCCAATCGATTCCCGTAAAAGCTGTCTACATATTGAACAGTCGATACAACGACGGCAGATTAGTCTGAAATTAAGCACACGTTAACAATCACTTTTCTTGCTAAAATCACAATTCTCTTTTCAATCGCATACCTTGATTATGACATACCTGTAGACACGGGAGTCAGATCGTCGGCAGCAGGTATGCCTCTTTCCGACGCCATGGAAAAGAGATTCATGATGGTAGTCGCGCAACAAAATACACACTGCAACTTATCCCTAGGAGTCTTATACACCGATATCACAGCCAATTCAGCCTGCGCCCATGACTAGGGGCATTCGTAATGACCTAGTTTACACCGATCTCTTGATACGCGTATCAAATAGTATATTTGAACTGATCAGCCAATAATCAGACTTATTTACTAGTTATTTACTATTTAATACGCGTATCAAGTGATCGATGTAAACTAGGTCAATGATAAACTTTTGAAATGCGTAGGTCCCTGTGATTTGAAGTTACGACCTTTGCCAACTTATTGATATGACCGTGAAAAAGCTGGTCCCTATATACATCTCCATCTTCATTTAGATAGAGCGTATTGTGGTATACCCGTGCCATGACGGTTCTTTCCACTACGACTCTCGCCAAATCTAACTGGTTGGCGCTTGCCGCTGAAAGTAAGAAGTAAGTTCAGACGTCTCTGAGCACACCGCTAAGATCAATTGCGAGATAAATAATTATATTCATGTACATTGCCAAATCGGATCGTTGTCCATTTCTACGTGGACCTTCTCTATAAAATTATCCACGAGAACCTGTTTCTCGTCAGCTAGCGTAAGCTTTTTAAACTCTTCGCAGGAGGAAAGCTTTCTTTTTTTTCCAAAAATACCCTCACACAAACGGATACAAGATGATTATTGATAGCATCCCGATCGCACTTAACTCGCACGCATAATCTGAAAAATATTATTATTAAACGGTTAACATCTTACATTTAAACATCTTACATTTACTTATACATTACATACAAAAATGATATTTATATATAAACAGTACCTATCTAAGTGAGCTAATGTCAACAGCAATCCCTGACGACATCTGATTAAATATGCGATATATGGAGATCGCTTTTGATAATCCTCTCGAAGTGATTTGAAGAGCTTTCTACATCCATCGTCATTAAATAGACGCACGCAACGTAAAGTTTCATGAAGATGAGCTAGTTAGACTTAGCTAACTAAGAGCCTCCGCACAAGACTCTCGTATGATAGCGTAGCGTAACTTAACGTGGATCAACGCACAAGAAACGTATCGGTTAGAGCCTCCGCACAAAACTTTCGTATAGTAACGTAACGTAGATCAATGCACAAGAAACGTATTGACGTATAACGCCGTAACCGATACGTTTCTTGTGCGTTGACCCACGTTTCGTTACACTACTTTACCATACGAAAGTCTTATGCGGAGGCTCTAACACCAGTATTCATAGTCGGTTCTTATTTCAAGACCGTCTCAAGTAATGTCTTAAGATGCTAATACGGCTCTGTGATTGGTTCATAATATCTTAAGATTGTACTTAAGACGGTCTTAAATATAAGAACCGACTATGAATACCGGCCAATTTCACCATTCGTATGTACTTGGCCGGAAATGAACGTTTTTTTTTTTTAATCTCTATATGAAATCGTTTGTATTTTGTATAAAGACTTTTGAAGTGCAATTGAAAAGGTGTGTGAGTCATTCGGTTAAGGGGATCCTGCAGTGACTGGCGAACTTCCTCGATGTCGATAATGTCAACCTTTCTAATTTTGTTTTCCCTATATCTGTCTTTGTCTAACGAAATGACATCTGTCCTTTTTTCGATTGCTCGCCATCTCTCGCAAGATCCGGCAACTACTGTTGCTGCTCTTCTTGTCATTTGCATCTGTATTTGCATTACTAAAATAATTTTTCGATGGATCTTTTTTTGTACGCATTGAATCTTACTTCTACTTGCACGATATTATTCCTACATGTTTTCCCAAGGGCAGATGATAAAAATTATGTATGTATAAACTGCAGAATTTTTGTTTTAAGCAAATATTGTCGTCAGGTGACAGCTGCGTATGTGCCCAAATAAGTAACATTTTTAATTTTTTGGCGTTTTTGATATAAAATCGCGTTTTCTGCCCTAGATTTTTGTGCGTACTTTAATTCTAGACCAAAAACTTGCAATTCTGTAAAGCCAATTAAAAGATCCATCGAAAAACGATAATGTCGGTAAATCATACGGCTGCAGGATCCCCTTAATTGTAATTAAGGAGGTTCTACAGGTACTCTCTAGTCAGTTGAGAGATGAAGAGAAAATTTTCAAATTCATCGATTTTAAGTATTCATAAAATATTTTCGTGAATTTTGATGACGTTAGAGCTT